ACTTAATTACCATGACTTATAATTTGCGACATTATAAAAACAACTTGTGCTATTATCGCTACATACAATTTACATAAATTTCATGTTATGCTAAATTCTTCTATGTATTTTTTAAAAACTCAATGACATTCGAGCATCGGTCAAAATTTTTTATCGATGCTCGAAACTCATCGATTCCAATCTTTAATTAAAAGGTGTGTTATGAATTAAATTACGATTTTATTTAAAGTTACGTCACTGACTAAAGTTACGTAACTTATTATTAATGCGGCACAATGGGATAATCGGATTTTGCGGCTGTAACTCAAAAAATTCATTGGGGCGATTCTACGGCATCACTAGTCACAAGCCTAGTCTTTGTCCAAAGCGTAGCGGAGGATTTAATGGTAGAGTCATAGACCCGCTATTTTTAGGTTAGATGAGTTAACGGTAATGGTAAGTATACGTACGCATGATTGACATATCAGATATTATATATACGTACGTACGTACCAATTTTTTCTCTCAATATTTTTTTTCTTCTTTTCCGCCCGTTGCTTTATTCGTCGTACTATTCACTTCTACATAGGTTCGGAGAAGTTAGGTTGTTACGGTGATCAGCCACCCTATGTAGTCGCACTTTAAAACTTCTCACTCAAAGTCGTAATATTACTGCGGAGATTACTTGCGTTTGTTGGTCTTGATCAAAGACCAACGGCCCTCGAAAAACCCGTAGTGCGAGTCCAGTAATTGATGTGGCACCTATTGCGTATGGGAGGAGGGGCAATAGTAGCTACCTAGGTTTTCTTGTATATCCTGAGGGCCATTATTTTTTGCGGGATTGACTCGCAACTTTATCGATGACTTGGTACATCATCGATATCGTATTTTATCATTTCGAGATCTTTAATAAGATCGGGAAATAAATGAATTTAAAAAATATTCGAATACACTATTAAATCAACGTTTCCCTAATCCCTTTCTTTGAAGATTTGTTTTTTTTTTTTTTCAAATCCCCGATTTTAGACTTCTTTGGGTCACATGATACAAACCTCCTCGTGGTGTGACCTGGACATCAAGTTGAAGAAACTTTACATGCAATGTACGCAGAATTTAAGGATTTATCTAAACAAGTTATTTCATCGACATCCAAATTAGTTTCTATAACTAATCGAAATGAAAAGCAAGCTTACCATAAAGGGTTCATTAAATCTGTTTTTTCATCAAGCTCACAAAGCCAAGATAATAACGAAATTACAACTTTATCTGACCTTGGATTCGAGGGAGATCCCATGGTGTGGTGATCTTTACAAAAACGGCAATTTCCGATTTTAAGTGAAATGGCCCGAAAATTTCTTGCAATTCCTGCAACAAGCACACCAAGTGAGCGCTTGTTTTCAGATGCAGGAAATGTTATGAGCGCGAAAAGAACGTTATTAAAGTCAATGTTATTTGGCAGAATGGTATTTCTAAAGTGTAATATGAAAACAAATGATTTTACTATTCCTGATGTCTAGGATTAATGCTTGGTTGTTTTTATAATATAAATCGCATATTAAATAATATAGCGGCAATAGTACAGGTCGCTTTTATAATGCGCAAATTATAAGTTATGTAAATTGTATGTAGCGATAATAGCACAAGTTGTTTTTATAATGTCGCAAATTATAAGTCATGGTAATTAAGT